ACATACAATACTTTAATTAATTTTTTTTTTAGAGTGAAAAGATCTAATTTTCCCCTCTTGATCACAATGAAAAACTGCAGTCTCAGAGTAGCATGATTCATCTATTAGTGTTAACCGCTAGTGTTACTGTAAAATCCTCTTTGGTTATAGAATATTTTATTTAAAGCAAGATTATACAAAATAATTTTCCGCTAGAAATACACCCCTGACATCTAAAAGCAATCTAAATTAACACACTTCCGCAGGCTGAAGCTATACTGATAGGACTTATAAATCTGAGTATTTCCCCACATAATCTAAACAAAGTTATCAAAATTATATTAAGTAAATACATTTTGAGGAATAGTAAACTTCTGAAAAAATCCTTAGGATATTAAAAGTAGAGTTCTGGAAGTAGCAGTAGTGGGCTAGAGAAAAAAAATTAATCAAGACAGAGACCTCTCTTTAAATACTCTCCATCGCTTTGAATTCACTGAGAGCCTGCACCGGGTTCACGTGTTTCTTCTGGGACGCTCTCTTGATTTTAGTTTGGGTTTCGTCTTGTTTCTCCCTCTTGACCAGGGGTTTCTTCTCCGGAGCCTTCATCTTCCAAGAGACGGCGGGAAGATTGAGCGAAGCCATGCCCTGGGACTTCTGGTACTTGGTCGATGCCACGTAGGAAGCCTTCACGGTTTGCACCACCGCGTTCATCAGGTTCTTGGCTGCTTGGATAAGAGACATGGCACTGTCCACCTGCAAACGGTAACACACGAGCGTTACACGCCGTAAACCCCCCCAAATACAGTACTCCAGAAAACACGATGGTCCTGGGGTGTAAAAGCACTCAAAACCTGATTTTTCTGAGCTTTCTTTTGAAATCTGAGGTTCCAAACTCAAGGCGGTGTTTTTCTTTGGACACTAAGCGGTTAAAAAAAGCGCAAGGTTTGCCCACGATCTGTGTCTTTTCCGTATTAATGGCAATCAAAAGGATTTGTATGCTGCTGTTTGCTTTTGTGACTAAGCTTTAACAGTAGCTTATTCTCTAATGAAATTAATAAAGCTGTAGTAATATCTTAATCATTGATAATAAATATTTAAATCACGCTAGAATATTAAGTTGTATGGGAAAGGAAGGAACGCAACTGCCTCTTCAGCCAGGCCCGGAGCCCTTTCCCAGGTGTTTCCCGACTTACAAGAGCATTAAAATGAGGGGGAAAGACAAACCATTTGCCGAAGCTTTAGCGCGTGGCAGAGACGAAGAGCCAAAACCGGGGCAGGGGGGAAGAGAGAGGGGAGGACCAGCGGGGTGACCTCAGGGGGGTGCAGGTGCCAGTGCTCTGCTCAGGGTGGGACCTCCGGCTGTGAACGCCCCACGGTCTGGGCAGGGTTTCGGCCCTGGGCAGGGTTTCTGCACCTCTGCTCGGCTTACACTAGAGCTCAGCTGCCTCTACACATTAAATTCCAGCGTTGTAGACATCTAAGGAAGGTTTGGGGAAAGGCCTTGAAGGCATTGCTCATCTCACGGCAAAATAAATTGAGCGGGAGGTTGGTTGCTTTTCTTACGGTGCTGGTACCTTCCTTTCCATCATGCCGTGTTTTGAGTACCACAGCAGCAGAACTGATCTGCGCCCTCCAGCAAACCAGTGTCGTCTGCGTTCCTCGCCCCACTCATCATGCTGGAAAACACTTTCATTGCATTTGACTATTTCCATGAATCTTCACAGCAGGAAGAATCATATTAAATGCAATGAAAGCAAGGAGGTACTTCTCTAAATGAATTTTCGGATTGCTTAGGGTGCAAGCTCTTACTGCCGTGGTTATAGCTCTGCTTTCACAAAATTTCTGCGGTATGTGGATGGGGGAGGATGTTAACGTTGAAGGGAATTTTACTTTCAGACAGGTGAAGTCCCCAGACTGGCAGAGGTCTTCCCCTGATAATCTGACAGAAGCTGAACGCCACGACTGGCAATATTTAGCCCCAGTGGACAGACTCGTGGAGAACAGATAAAACCAGGAGATTAGACTACAGATGCCAGCCTGTTCATATAACTAATTTATGGCAGAAGGGTATGTAAATTCTGAAGACACTGAATAACTGCAGTAAAACCCTGGAGTACGTTATTATTGCATAATGACACATCTACTTCTTTGACAGCACGGTGCCTTCAGCCTTCCAGCTAATAGGACATCAGGCATGCAACAGAGCCGCGCAGCAACACATGTTTCATTACATCTCGTCACTCGGCTCCGCTGTGCTGGAAATCCGAGCGTGTGGGACTGGCAGCAGCGGGACGTGCCGCAGAGAAGCCATCTCCCCTGCCAAGGTGCTAAATTTCTGCAAGTGCGGTCCAGGGCCACCGCTGCTTCGGCAGTGGGTTGCTGCAGAGCTCCCTCAGCTGCTGCCGTCCTGAAGCACTCATTCAACAATTCTAGCTTGTTTGCGGGGAAAAAAGAGATGTGCTAATAAGTTTAAGCATTTGAAATACCTAAATGGCAGAAGGTGGCAAGTTTTTTTTCTGTTTTCTTCTAAGGATTCAGATAGCAATATTGGACTATCTGCCCATTCTGTCCCTTCTTCAAACCTCCTACCCCAGTCATGGCATGGATGGGCAAAAGCACCAGTGATCAAATGTACCCGCCTAGGGCAAGGAAGAATACGCTGGAAGAAATGAAGAATTTAGCTCTACTTCCCTCCCCCTCCATATCCATCATATAGATTCCTCTTAGGAGGAAGCATTTCATGAACTACAGTGAAAAAATGACTTGCTAAGTAATGGCTAGAATAAGGAAGCAGGCTGGCCTACGGCACCGTTCAGCCGTCATAAAACAGAGCAGCCACTAAAAATCCCTGCGCTCTTCCAGGCACAGCAATTTTGAAATATTAACATCTCTGGAGCATTGCAGGACCCCAGCATGTTCCAAGGCTGTGCAGAGACATGGGGTAGGTTTAGCTATGCTGATTAAAGTGATTTAACCTCACTAAGAGTGAAAAACAGTCTGGAAAAACACAGAGATTACACAAAGGTAAGGTGAATCTGTCTACAAACACGGCTGAGTAAGGAAAAGGGAAGTCTGTATTCTACCCCCTTTCAAACAGTATTTCCTCCAAGAACAATGAGGCAGCGCAGGCAGTGTTATAAACTTTGCAGGCATTAAAACCTTGACTGAATGCTCCAAAATCTGTTGTCTATATTCCATAATGTTTAGCATAAAAGCTTAGCTTGGAATAATTGTTACCCCTGGAAGAAAAACCGCATGAACCAGACACGTCATAGTTCATACATACCCCCGACACAACCAGCTCCCCTCCGAGGTTTTGAACTTCAGCCTTCACTTTGCTACAGATATTCAGCTGATGGCAATAGAGTGCGATGCGCTGCAGGTAGGCCAGGAGGTCCTGCTTGCACGCAGAATCGGGACACTGGAAAAACAAAGGTGAAGTTTGCAATCACGAAAACTGGGAACAGAAATTTAGGGAGAAACCAGACAACTCCGTTGTGTAACAGCAAATGTGCTCCAGAGATCATTCACCTTTCTGTTCAGCTTTGGTTTTCAAAAGACAACTGAGCAATACACGGCCATCGCTAAAAACATATAAAAAACCAGATGCGATAAACACGGGCTATCAGATAACACAGGCGCAGCCGCTGGACAAAACTGCCAGGGCTCCGTTCAGCTGCGCGGCTGCCCTTGAGCTCCCTGCGAGGAGGAGGAGGAGGAGGAGGAGGGCTACCTAATCTTTCCAGAGCAGGTTTGTTAACTACAAAAAGGTGTTTCCTGTGCACTGGACACAGCAGCAGTGATTTGACATCCAAGATCTCAAGTTGCAACTAGCACATGTTACCAAATCCAGCCTCAATTTCCTATCTTAAGTATTTTAAGCTAAGAAACGATAAACCTGACAGTTACTCAATTACATCCAGCAAAGTAGATATTTTCCTGACTTCTGCTCCCATTTCTTAGCAGTGTGGAAACTAGATTCCTCGCCAGGCATGAAATAAAATTTTTAAAGTGCTTGCTGAAGCACTCATCCGTAAGATAAAAGTAACTTTTTCAGCTTTGCAACTGAAAGACTACGTAGGTACCGGAGACTGCAGCGCAGTTCAGAAAGCTGTTTTCTCGGACAGAAACGCAGGACCATCCCTTGCTTTGCAGAGCCGAGTGGCGAGATGATTAATGAGCCAGTCTCATGCTGGATTTCAAAACAAGAGCAGCCCTGCTGAGGGGCAGCCACAGTCCAAAACGGGATCTGCAAGCATAAGACAAAAAGGCTACGGGAAGCCTGTTACTACCCACGCCGGTCCTGCAGGATCTTTAAAAACGGCAGCGAGCACAGTCCCGAAGAATAACGGGCCATCTCAGATCTACTGGCACGCTCTGGCTGCGTGAGGACTAGTGAGTAAAGCAGCTGGCACACACTGAACTCCACAAACCCTTTGCCCACCAGACTCTAGTGCTGCTGCTGAACAAACCCAAGGGCACGCGTGCCACGCTCCTGCCCTGCGCACGCGGCGCTAGCGGGGCACCTATGGCCGCCTGCACCCCACCACTGCCTGCGCCGCAAGCAGCGCCCAAGACGGCAGATTTTTAAACCAGTCTGGATATACTGGTGATGGCAGAGGCTATTGCGATAGGGACGCAGGGGACATTAGGGTCCAACAGGTCACGTTCTGGTGCCTACCGGTGAGGAGCCCATGCCGACAGCACGTACGTTTCTGACCAAGGCAGGAAGTTTTAGAGTTGGGTGTTACATGCATCTACAGAATGCCTATAGCTTCGACGTCCACGTGCTTTACATTGCATTGTGTCAAAACCACCGTTGCTTAAACCCTGATCTGAATCCCAGAGCAAGTACGAGTAGTTGTACTGCGCTGCAAGCTCCCGTGCCATTTCCTCCTCTGAAACGGCCGCTTTGCGCATCCTCTTTTCATCTTCCCACCGAGCATTCACAGGTCTCCTGGACAAAACCTGTACCAGACTCACAATGATTCTTAAGTTTTCTGCTCTAAGGCAGGCAATCCAGCATTATTTCACCTCTAGCACCGTACCAGCAGATTAGGAATTGAACTGGCATTAACCAGGGACAGGACTAAAGGCAGACCCTGCAGCGATCTCCATCCTTCCTACGTAACTGCACAGAAACTCATCAATCTCCAGCATCCAGGGTCGTGGCACACAGCTCCCGGTCACTGAACTCAGGCTTTCCAGCACCCCCTACACACACACGCTCACAGGCAAAATCCAAATGCTTTTCCCTGGCCCCACAGCTTAGCTTGACAGCAAGCAGCGCGCACCGCCCTCCACTTCTCCCCTCCAGGCAGCTGCTCGTCCCAAAGGCGGGCACCGGCTGCCTCCAGACAAGCACCATAATCCCCACAGAAACCACGAGCAGCCGCAGTGATTTACCAGTGGTAGACGTGACAAGGAGAGAAGAGCGTTGCCCTGAGCAGCATTCGCTTCTCTTCACCCAGCACCTGCTTGCTCTTCTCGCCGACCAGACCCTGCTGAGATTCACAGATCTGCGCAGGCTGCGAGAGCTCTTCTCCACTCACCCCTGTTCACAGCAAAACCCCATTTCATCTACTACCCTGATCCTGTACAACGGACCGTCAAAGGTAGATTCATAATGGACATGGTATGCTTGGAGGAGTAACCTTCAACGTGGCACCAATTTACTACTTAATGCTTCACTCAAGCTCAGGTTTATTGCTTATGGCCAGACAGCCTCTCCTCTCCTTCCAGAGCAAGGGAAAAATCCCCTCCTGGGTGTGTGCAGTCGGGTCTGAGCCCTAATTCCCATTGCAGACCGTCTCTCCTTAGCTACAGCTCGAGCTGTACAAGATGGAAGCAGGAACCAAAGTTTCCCTGAACACAAAAGGCACAAAAGGCGACTGCACCAGAACAGATCATCATGTTGCACAAGCAACATTCACACGGAGCATTTGCTTCCCACAACAGTTACTGATCTGCCACAACAACCACTTAAGTCTGAGAGGAAGGTGAGTGCAGCTAATGCAGCCGTTTGTTTTTTCCAGAAGAAGTGAGGTTTTGAAGCCGATGTGGTATTTCAGCCCAGCAGAGAGCACACAGCTGTACTATGTGCTGCATATAGAGGTGCCTCTGTAGGGCAGGCTGCTGAGCCGGGATCCAGGGCAGCACGCAATGCGCTACGACAGGATTTCTGGCAAGCTGGGACAAGCAGATCAGGCTGTGTAACGCAGGCTACAGAGATTTGGATGGCTTTACCGGCATTTGACCCTGTGCGTCCATAAACTAACAGAAATCACCTTCTTATTCCCAAGGAAAGCTCATGAAAACACCCGAAGTATCCTGCAACTCTTATGTAGGTACGTTGCTTCCATCGGTGAAGTGAAAACCGTGAGTAACAAAGCAGCAAAGCTTGCAGGTTAATTTTTTAAGCTAATCAATATTAGTCAGCAGTACAAGATGTTTTAGAGAAAGTCCACAAATAGCGTGGGCCAAAGAGCTAATGAAAAGCTGAAATTACCATTTTGGAAAATACTCTCCATCTCCCAAACAGCTCATCTAACAAAGTGAACGAGCAGCACAGCGGCAGATTGAATTGAATGTTGACAAATGCACAATACGGCACGTCAGCAGGACCGCTAAACAATTCAAGGTACTTTATGGGTTGTGAGTTTATGGAAACCATTTAAGCAAAGACACTCTCAAGGAAAGAGGCTGCCGCATGTTTACCAATGGCTGAAGGACGCAGCAAAACATTAGTGGGGGAAGCAGTGGAATAGGAAATATTATTCGGTTGTATATATCAATATGACGTGAGCTGGAAAACCACATCCTATCCTGTGTGTGCTATTTCTACGAGCAGAATAGCAAATTCAGTTCAAAGACAGATGATGTTTGAATAGAGATGTAACACAAGATAAAAAAGAACATCAAGAAAAGGCACTGCAGCTGCCTGTATGAGCCCTGTCCTTTCCTATGCAGGAACATTCAGATAAAACCCAAAAAACCCAAAAGGCAACAATTTCAACACTGATTATGAAAGATTACATTATTGTATTAACCTGCAACAGCCACAGACACAAAGAAACCCGTCTGCAGAGCTAGCTTGGGAGGATGCCCACAGCATGGTCACAGCAGATAGCTGCATCGTAGACAGAAACCAATGTGTGTTGGGGGACCCCCCACCTCCCCAAACCCCCAAGGTGAGATGCTGCCACAGACTCAGTAGTGGTTGCTGGCAAAAGCTAAGCTGGCTGCTCCAGGTCAAATCCAGGATCCATGCCGGACAGAGCAAACACACACGCACATTCGCTTCCTAGCACCACAGCTGAGCCTGCGGAGAAGCAGAATCACTTTTTTTTTTTTCTCCCTTTTCGCAAAGAAAAGGGGAAGAGAAGACAGAAAAGCTCTCCCACAGTGTGTGCTGATTAAGACAAGCACACAACCCCCATCCCCACGTGTCTGGTAGGTGTAAGCCAGCAACCGCAGAGACTTTTCTTCCTCCCACTGTATCCCCAGTTTAGGGTAACAACGATTCACAACAAAATGCCCCCGCCAGCCCTCTGTAACAGCTGGGCTTGGCACCGTTTGGTTAGAGAGGCTGAAATCAGGCAGTTAGGGGAGGCAGTTACCGCGGCAGGAGAGGCCCGTGGCGATGCGTGCCAGCAGCTGTCACCCAGGTCAGCCGTCAGCCTGCGCCCGGAGCACCTCTCCAGACCAGCACCCGCAGGCATGGAGCAGTCTCCACAGCAAGACCCTGCTGGAGCGTTTTTCTGGGAAGTGGGACAATCCCTACGCTTCCCCTCAGCTCCTTTCAATTTAATGATCCGATACTGATACAACCTCCCACCACCATGAATGAGAAAAAGCAACAGAATTTTTTTCTGTTTCTTTGTAAGTAATTCAGCACTGAATAAAAATAACACGGAGAATCATTGTCTTGCTGCAAATCATTTTCATTTGTGTAGTACTCATAACTTCTTCATATTCCCCCATTCAAAACAAGCAGACTGCTGCTTTGAGTGAAAGATGGAACACCTTTGGGAAAATCTGCCGGCTGATGGCTAGACACTTTTCAACAGACGTGAAATACCTTGGATAATAGCTTTTATGGTTTCAAAGGAAATGTGCTGTAAAACTGCCTGACGGCAGGAGTTAGGAGTTCCTGACACACTAGCACGAGGGGTCATGATTCACCCGGTGTCACATGGTGAACAGGACATAAAACCCCGTCCATTTGTTAAAAGCCCATATTAGGCATGGGAAGGCATTAGTGCTCCACTGAAACGGCTGCATTGTACGTCCTCTGTAACTGTCAGATAGTTCTACATTAACAGATCACTACAAGTTTCTAAAGAGTATGTAAGCATATCTAATGAAATATGCAAGCTGAAAGTATTAGTAGAGTACAGAGTCGGAAAAAAAAGCCATATTCTTGTCAAAATGACTAACTGTACAGTCCTGCTCATATTTATCTTCAAACATGTGCTTAATCTTTTACATTTTTAAGGAACTTACTTCTGCTAGAAGGAGCAATTTAGTTTTCTTCTATATTTTGAAATGGCTCAGCACAAAAAATCGTATCCCAAGTTTGCATAAAACATATGAATTAAAGGAAAAAAAAGCATTGTAAACCTTCAGCCCAAGATCCCCCGAGATCTATAACACAAACGGCTCCTTGCTTCATTTACCTACAGCAGCAGCATACCTGCTCCTTCCAGAAACATGGTTGTCAAAATGCTACAGCAAGGAGACTCGTTTTAAAAAGCACTTTTCAACTTTATCTCCCCATTGAACAATACTCACTGCATCATTAATAAATTAGGGTGAAGACAACATCCTCTGGATGCAACATTAAAAGAGAGATCTGCATTACAAAGATTTACTTCCAAAGTGACATGGTTTTATTTAAAACCTTGCATTACGAATTTAAATTCAGAGGAGGACTGAAAAGCAAGCGACAGCTGTACAAAATAAAGTTTAGTCCATGATCTCAGACTTAACCTACCTGCATTTCAGGGTCTCTTGAAGGCAGATTATTATTACTAATGCTGATGTTTCTCTGCAATTTGGGTGTGGACCAAGACCAAAGGTGCTTTTGTTTGGCCCAACCCAGTTTCTGAAGTGGCTCAGGACAGGCAGATGCATTGCATAAAACCCCAAGCTGGCCCATGCTCATTCAATCCTATAGAATCCTTTTCAAATATCTTTGTACATATAGCACAACAACATGCACAACAGTCTGGGACAGCATCGAAAATGCTCGGGTCGCTACATGCCTCGCTCAAAGTCCTGATCAACTCTTGACTAAACAACAAAAAAATTACCAGAGAGTTCTGACAATATCATCATTCAGTCTATGGGCATCTGAAAATTGTTAATATTAAAAAGCTGCCTCAAAAAGAATATTAAAAGTTATGCAATAGGCCACATGCAATAATTATGGTGTTGCCTGCGCAGTCTCGTCATTGCTTTGGAAAGTACTGGGCACATTCTGAGCATGACGGAAGTGACATGAATTCAGTTTCAGTCCTGTTCGGTTAGAGAAACTGGCCTAGATACTGTGTGACATGAAGCAGTGTTGGCATATCGCTACCTTAAAAAGGTAGGTGCTTGATTTAAGCCAAGGAGCTGCTAGAGTTACTGCTGGACATATTTAGCTGCCTACACTGTTTAGGGTGGCAGGAGAGCAGCGAGGAAGAAAAGGCTAGAATTTTCCAGCAGCAAATCTGGACAATCAATTTAAAACCCCCCAAAACCTCAAAACTAAACACATTTTCTCTTGTTCATCATCTCTGCAGTACTAAAAGATCTCCTATTGCTCATTTGTGCTGGAGGCTTATGAAAATGAATTGTGACTTACATGGTCAGCAATAGTCCGTCCCAGCTTGTCCATCCTTGACCCAGCCTCTGCAATCTTCTTGGCTGCGCTAATCACATCTGATGTATTTTTCAGTGGACCTTTACCTCTGCAGAACAGAATCTACCTTTTAGCACCAGAAAACTGGAAGAGTGAACTACATATTGCTTTACTCATCCTGTTCCATATAGAACTGGAAGTGATTCCTCACCCAAACTACATGAATAAGGTTGCACAGAAATAGGCAGGTGTAACCATTACGGCACCTTCATTTTCAAGACAGTTTCCCTCTTTAAAACCCTCACCATATTTAGATTAAATCTAGGAATAAAACCATCTTAAATTTTACTGGTTTAAGCAACCTAATGATGATAAGAGATAACATTTTAGAAGACAGATTTGCAATTTTCATGGAATGCAACATCAAGTTTAAAAAATAGTGTTGTATAAAATCTGGTAAATGAATTTCAAAAAGCATCAAAACCCCTCTCTTTCTTTTGCAAATAACTGTACTAGGAACTATTTCTGCAGTATAGCAATATCAAGAAGCCCATAGAATTTAATGTTGTAAGGAACTGAGCAAGTATATATATATATTCCTTGGGACAAAAATCACCCTTAAGAAAGAAAGACGGGCAATAACTGCTGTGCATCTATAGATAATTTAAACAGTTATTACCACCCAGTCACTGCATAGTAATGCATCTCCCAAGTTAATAAGCAGGCTTTAATAGGGTAACATTTAAAGGAAATTATAAGAAGTAAGACTCTTAAGAGTACTTGCAAAATAGTTCATTGAAAGATCAGCATCCCAGCCAGTTCTGAGAGAAGGTGTTGTGTGCACAAATTAAAAAGACTCACCTGGTGAAGTCTGTCATTTCCATCATAATCATACACATTTGTTTTGCCAGAACAATTATATCATTACCGCTGTCATCCCATTTTGATACTTCAGCATCCAATTTACTCTTTTCCTCCTGGAAGCTTGCGACTTGCTCAGCAATCTTAGCTTTTTGCTCTTGAGGGAGCTGAGCCATGATAGCCTGAAAGAGAGAGCTTTCTTACATCGCCTCATGCCACCACTTGTAGAAGGCTTTTTGGAACATTTCACTAATAACCAATCTAAGTCATGTAGATGGGGGATAAAACCTGAAGAGCAATCCTCCACCTAGAGTCTCTACAGAACCATTTCCTTCCGTTTTGAACCAAAGTTTATGCTCTTTCTTAAGAAAGAGTGCCCAGAAAGACAGGTTGACATCTGAAACATGGACATTTGCATGATGAAATTGTTAGACTCTGAACAAGTTGACCAGATATTACCATCCACCAAAGAAAAACTGCTTGAAGAGAAGGGACTCGCCTTTTCTACAAATTGTAAAGAGTTTTAAAAGGATGTTCCACTTGGCTATCTTTCGGTGTTGCAATGCACAGAAGAAATATTACAAGTCTCTCTCCTGCAAAAAGCTAGAGGCACTGTTTTGAAACATGCATACTGAGGAAAAGAGTAAGCAAAAATAAAGACTATGTGCCTACCCCTGAATAAAATCTATTAGACTAGGTTTACAGCCTGTATGAGACTCAATGCCCTTGCCTTCATAAATACTAGGAGCACTCATGCCTCCAGGAGCAGGTGAAAAGGAGTCTTCAGTACAAAATAAGCCTCTGGCAGCAGCCATGCTAAAAGGTAAATTAGAAATGTCTGCATTTAAATAAAAGGGGAGAGGGGGATACAGGAATAGAGAGTGCCTGTGCAAGGAAGGAGAGCATAAAAACTACTCTCAGTTAGTATAATTCCAAAGCCAACGTGGCAGAAGTTTGATAAATAAGGCCTAGCTACTTCTTGCCTGGTTGCAGGCTAGAAGAACCTTCACAAAAAAATCTTTCGTGGCACTTTCCCAAGAATGTAAATTGTTATCGATCCAGAAGAGGACATGTCAAATAAAAACAATAGGTGAGGCCTGTTTTTTCTTCAATGTACCGATTTTAAGTTTTCACCTATTAATGATTATATATTGCCTAGCAATGCTTTCATTTTTAACAGTCATAGGAAATGCAGTTAGTTTAAATGATTTCATTTTTGAGCTCCTCTCAACATTGCCTTGATTAAATGCTCAGCGGCCAAACACACACCAACACGTGCGTGAAAAGGCATTTTGTAAAAATGCCTTAACTGCAGAGTTATCTATTTCTTGCCCACAAACTTAGTATTTGCCTGTTGAAAATAATGTTGGTACAATGGAATGATTTGCGCCGTATCTCCCTGCAGGCGCTCACCTAATTAAATGGCAGTGCCTACAACGTCTGCGATGTCAAAGTAGTTCATCAGTATTAAATGGATTTTGATCTTTCAGAACATCCAAAATAAAACACAGATGTTTCTGATGGCCATCAGACCAACACATGCTGCATTCCACTTAACCTCTTTTTCAGAAGGAAACTGGAAAGAAAAGGATGCCAGTTTTCTGATCCAACATTTTCACCACCACCCCCAAAAAATTTAACCTGGATTTTCAAAGCATGTTGAACTGTTTCTTGAAGGCAGGTCATAGTTTTATAATGCTCAGATTTCTTCCTTACCCTCGCACTTTGTCCAGCAATAAGCTGATCATCTTCAGTCTGAATACTTGTTCTGCTTCGGACATCAAAATCCTCAGTTTCAAAGTCAGAATCATCCAACTCTTCAGGAGTCTGAGAAAAGAGTAATTCAGTCAGAGTCAGACGATAGATTTCATGGCTCTAAATATCAACAAGAATATTGTTTTTCAAGCAGAGAGAATGGAAATAAGTGAAGGTAAAAATTATTCCATGTTTCCAACAAAAGGTAAATACAGGGATTGTATTCAGCTTGTGAACATGTGTGATTATATATGCTTGACTGCTCAGGTTAAGCACCATAGGGATCCCCAAAATTACATACCAGTAACTAAACATCTGAGATTTGTCAGGACACTAATGCACTCAGCATTTGAAAGACAGAAAAATTTTTTTTTGCAAAATGAACAGTATTTTTGCAACTTGGTTAAATGTAAAAGCTTCGCTTGAGATTCTGAAGCTAAAATTACATACAGCTTTAAGGCCTGGTTCAAAACCACAGACGTCGTCTTTAGCACAATTATGAATCAAAGCATCGACTAAATTAACAACAGATAAAATATATCGAAATTTATTCTTATCCCCCAGGAAAAGTGGAAAATTTTTAGCTGGTAAGGGCCAGCTTTTATGCTGTAGGCTAAACACATCTGACCTAGTTCCTGCTTGCCTAGGATTTATTTTTGCTACTGCCAGTCTATAGCTGGCAAACTTTTTATAAAGCTTATCAAGTTTAAACAGCATGTTTGTCAAAATACTACATCTTTGCCTAGAGTGGCACTTCATGACAATTTTGCAGAGCTGGATCAACAAAGAACTTAACTGATAAATGCAATAAATTGTGATTAACAGATAAGATGCAAATAAACTCCCTGTTCTTCAGATTTCTTTCCCATGATTTGTATTTTACAAACATGTTTTCCAATACAGGCATCTTGTGATACAGAGATGGAGATGCAAAATAGTTGCCAAAAAGCAAAAGGGACTATGCTGGCAATCAAGACCTAGGGTATTTCAGCCACCATCTCCTCTCCATGCCTTGAAGAACAGAGTATATCCCCAAAATCAGCCTAAGGACATACACTAATAAGTAGCTCAGTGTATCCGTATTTTAAAAATGTAAAAAAAAAATAAAGAAAACAGTTCTGCTGTATCTTTAGAAACTGCTTCTGATTCTCAAGGCCCCTTCTCATCCTAATGCCCAAACAACCTGGAGTATACAAAGTGTAATTCTGCCTTTCAGTCTGTCAGCAAGGGCAAAAACTCCTCTGGGGGTGACGAGAGATTGCCTGGGGATCAGGAAGAAAAGAGCTTTACTTCAGTAACCTACAGAGATAGTAAGATTTTAGCTCTGAAAATACACTGCATAAACACAAAAGTTAGGTGTGTAAGTGACTTTTCCTTCTGGTTCCTGTAAAGAACAAGTGCTGCTGGACGAAGCTGCCAGTGAATCAGCCCGTTTGCCCCCGCCGAGCTTAGCAGCATCCCCCTGTGAGCGTGGTTACTCCTGCGGTCCAGTTTGAGACAAAGCCCCGGAGAAGTGGTGGCCTGGCATCTCCATTTGGATGGCTCTCTTATCCTAAATGCATTCTAGACCTTACAGCCCTTTGGACAACAAACACTAACATTTTAATTTTTTATAGGTCACCGATGTGTCACCAGTGAGGTGCCGTTAGCTACTGGCAGCTGCAATAAAGCCGTGGCACCCTGACATCAGAGACGTGGCGCAAGGGGAAACGTCAGGATTCCTGGCATCGCCAACTCGGCTAATTACTGACGACGTGGAATTGGCAGTCACGCTTTCATGTCCTGAATAACAACAAGGACTTTAGTCGGGGGTGAATCAAATTAGTTGGCCTGCATAGCAGGAAAGCACTGATATCTTCATCTACCATTGGTTGTCTGTAAATCCTAAGCTTAAGTTTGAAAAAAAATTGTATGGAGAGCACATATGTGCTTGTCAGCTTTTCTGCTGGTTTTCCATCTGATTCTTTGCTTTAAGCAGCAAACATGGAAGATACTATTGCAATGGTTACTATAATCACATATATTCTGGGGCTGTACGTCCCTAATTTACTTATCACCAAAATGCATCTGCCATGGTTACCATTCTGAAAGATGAAGACAGTTTCTCTGCAAGGCATTTACGTTTGAGTCAGAGGGGTACAAGGAAAAAAGAAAAAAAAGAATAAACCCCTTACATTTGTTTTTTGCTGTGTCTGGCTCCTGCCCATTTTTACCACGTTAAGATTCAAGAAATATGCCCACAGGTCAGCCTCAACCAGAACTTTCTTTTCTGCAATCCTTCAGTCAACTGCAGAATCCCTTCTGCGTCTTCCCCGCACACCTCCTGCCAGACTAATGCTGCCTGACCTACCAGAAATTAGGACTTCCAAGTCACACTCGCTGCACCTGAAACACGCAAGCACAGTAGAGACAAAGCCTGGTCCCTCTTTACTGAGGTGAGCCAATTAACGAATTACATGCTCTAGGAACTGCAGACTGAACTCATCTAAACCAGTTTTTGACTAACTAGAATTAATTCTCAAAATTTACTTAATAAAGAGCCATCAGGTTTTACTTCTAAGCTCTCAAAGCATCAAAAAGTATCCATAGTTAAGAATCCACTTGCTGTTGTTAAACCAAAGGTCACCGATTTTAACACGTTAACAAGCAAGGCATTAACACGATGTTACAAAAAGATGCATGAAGGGTATTTAGCATCACAACTCCGGCTATCATCGATGCTCAGATCTGTTTAATGCATTTGAATCAAAACATACTTCTGAAGTATTCCACAGAGTGATTAGCGGTTTTTAAGACTCAGAATGTTAATATGAGCTAAGTGAAAATCTTACGCTATCTGCTCTCAACGAAACTGATGCATGTCAGTTCAATAAAGGTGGTGGAAAGCGAGTGGAAAAACAGAGAGCTGTTAAAGTTACACTCACCCGGATCATCAGTACGGCTTTCCTGATATCTCTTATTCCATCGTAGACCAGTCGCGAAGCATCAATAAATTCATTTTCATCCATTGGCTGAGCAGGGTCTGAACTCAGTGCTTCCACAGCAGCTTCTACTTGCTCAGTAAACCGCGGCATAACTGAATTAAGAACACAAAATAACAGTCAGTGTCGCCCCCGCTGCCATTTTCTGCTACACACTCCCGTAAAAGGGTTGTGCTTTGTTGTTAACTATCACTGGAAACTGCAGTGACTCCCCTGAAACTCAGAACCTTTGTTATAGAAGGGCACCAATACTGTAGCTCCAGTCTTATGTCGACTTCAATTTCTGTTTACTCTTCTTCTATTTGTTTTTTTCCCCTTAGACAGTGAAAAGTCCCTTCTCATGGACAACGAGAAAACACTTGGGGAAGCAGTTAGAAATTATGGGATAAAATCTTAAGCATTTACCATTCCCTACAGATGTACATATTTTTGGGGGGGAAAACCCCCAATATTACCACCACGAAGCTGAAGTTTAAGGCGGCACTGGAAGAGGGCAGGTTGCACTGCCATACATGAGTGACTCACTGCACCCCAGGAAGAACATCACAGAACCATTTACAGTCTGTTCGCTTCTTCAGCATCACCCTTGATTCTTCATCAAAGTTGTAATTAAAGCAAAACCAACAACTAATAGTTGGCACAGCACTCACTGAAGCTACGAGAATCATTCCTTACCCTATATGGATGTTACTGGCTACTTCACAGGAAAACACCCTAATTTATTGTTTAGCGTGTTTCTTCAACATTTGTAAAGATATTTTACAAAATTTACCCTTAATGATTACCCAAAATTTATTCTACTCAGCCAAGGCGGCAGAAATCTTCTGTCTGGATCCTGAACACTGACAGAGCCTGGTACCTTACTGCAAGGTGATCAGCATAACTTTCAAGCCCTGACTCACTGTCTGGGATTCGTTCCCCGGTGTTTTAGCGTTCTGCAGCTCAGTCAACGACAGCAAGCACGGTCACCCAGACCTTGCGCGCTGCTGAGTTTTAAGCCAGTCAACACAGCAAAATTACATTTCTCATTTTGCAACAGCTCCGCAAATAACTCCCACTAATTTTCATTATAGTATGTAAATGGAGTCTTCAACAGATTTCACAGGTACATTAGTATCCAGTTGCCCGTGCGCTCATAAGCAATATGAATTCAGGGATCTTGGGAGTAACCGACTCTTACCTGTGTTGGACAGTAACTTTGTCGCTTCCAACACCTTCTCCGTGTAGACTCCAGGTTCGTAGTTATCCATTTCAGAAGTGACAACATGAATGACTCTAGCAGCACGTCCTCGAATTGCACCAGCTGTGCGGTCTAAACCATCAACATCTTTTTCTTGGAGAGCAATGACACATTTGTTTACATCTTCTAAAATATGATTCTCTGGTGGTAAAAGAAGGAGGATTTAGACAGTAATATCTTCTTTTCTGTTGCAGCCATCAGCATTGCAATTTCTCAGTTTGTGACCTGGTCTATAAAACCTCCAGTGAGATGCTGTAAAGCATTAATTTTTAAGCTTGTTATGACCAGCAAACAGCTGACCTTCCCAACCAAGTGTCCCATCAGTCCATTCACCTACTGGCATCCACACTTCTTGCCCCCGTTTGTACTCGATTTTACCAACAGAAAAGCCATGTTCAGCTGCATTCTCCCCTAAAATGTTTCTTTCCATATTCCTCCCCTGGACTGCCAAAGCCCTTACTCCAA